TCCTTCCCTCAATCTGCTTGTTTGCTGAAATGACCTATACTACATATTTGTAAATAATTATTTTTTAATTGGTGCATTGTAATTTTACATAATAATGAGACTGATTATGCCATATTCATTTATGCGTATAACATAATATGATCAATTTTATTCTCCAGTACCTTCTCTTTTCCTCCTGCTTATGGTTCTTTTAAACTTTCCCTTTTCCATGTTTTTAACTCCTTTTTTAGATAGGGAGAAATCAGACTCGAGTTATTTTAGATTTAATCATTTGCTCTGCCAGTTAAATATATTGCTAAATGTACTTACTCTCATAACTACTCAGGCTGCCTTTTCCATCTGCCACTCTGTTCTCTCTCCCTCTGATCCCATTTCATTGGTGGCTGAAACATGCTGCCATTTCCCCTTCTCCCATACAATCCCATTTCTCTGTATACCAGGTACACTGCACAAAACCCCATCACTCTCATTGTTCTATTTCCTCTAAAGCTGACTTCTCTTAATGTTAGGAGGGATAGGGACAGGAAGCGAAGGAACAATGGAAGGAATTGGTAGGAAGCCATATATGGATTTATATTTTGAATACAAGGCTGACAGAATTTGCTGGGAGATTGAATGCAAAATGTGAGAAGAAAAGTAGGTTTTTTAGCCTGAGCAACTGGGAGAATTGACTTGTCATTAACCGAGATGAAGATAGAACTATTGTTTAATGGAGGTGATCAGGAGCTCAGTTTGGGATGTGTGAAGTTTGAGATGCCTTTCAAACACACAATAGGAGACAACAGTGTTCGATCTGTACATGGTTCTTGAAGTGTGGGGAATATATATTTGGGAATGCTTGGCATATAGATGCTATTTAAAGCTATGAGAACTGAGTAGGAACCTGACCCAAAGTTGAAGGTAATAAAGGAGACAAATTCAAAATAAAGGAAGAGAAGCCAAGATTTATCATGCCATTGGCATCTTCAGACTTAAAGTAAAAAGTTAGTGCTCTTAGCAAAAGCAGCTTCTCTAAGTCCCTGTGTAAGCTCAGGGACAAGTTCATATTTGGGAGGTGAGCCCATTAAGGAAGGGGGAAACAAATGAGATAGGAGAAAAACAAGGCTAATGTATTTTGGGAAGCTAAGTGAAGAAATGCTTCAGTTAACGTGAAAGGATCTACTGTGTCAATTGCTGTAGATAGGTCAGGTAATTTACTATTGAATTTAACTTATGGAAGTCATTGGTGACATTAATTTTTTTTTTGTGTGTGTGTGTGTATGTGTAGGGAAGAACCTGATTGGAGCAGGTTCAAAATCAAATGGGAGGAAAGAAATGAGAGACAGAGGGCATAGAGAAACTCTCAAGGAGTTTCAGCGTACCTGTATAGTCATATAGCCACAGTCACCTACTTAAGTTTTTCAGCTCTGGAGCTGAGTTTAAGGTATCTGTTTCTTAGAGTTGTATTATTATTGCGTGTACTTTGCTAATGCACACATACCTTGATAATTACACATAATAATAACTTACTATATATAAAATTTTTTAGTAGTTACTATTTATTTATTTTAAAAAATAAACCCACCTTTAATTTTTATGCAGGAAAAGACAGTTTTGTTCCTGATTTTGAAATAACTAGTTACTATTTTAAGTTGGTAAAATGTTTGTCATTGGCCAAGAAAGTAATAGGCTGGC